AGACCCTTCCTCTCTTTGAACCCCCCCCCCCGGCCCTGCCTCTGACAACCACCTTACTGCCACACCCCTTACATGGGTCCCTGGGCCTGGTCTCCTGTGCCACCCACACGAAGTCCCCAACATGCAGTTTGCGCACCATGTGGGTCACGTGCAGCCGCTGCAGCTGGCGGAGCAGCTCGGGCCTGTGCCCGGCCCTGGAATTGCGAGGTGGGAGGCTGAGGTCAGGGCAGGCCAGTGACAGCCCCCGGCACCCCCTCCCTCACTTCCCCCACCTCACTCACCCCTTGGCCTCGCCAACGTCCACACACAATAGCACCCTGTACTCTCCAGGCCTCAGCTCCAGCGGTGGCTGCTGGACACTGCCTTCACTGGCGCCGCTACAGGGAGGAGGGGGGTGTTGTGTGTGCCCAGAACCTCAGTGCCAAGGCAGTTTCCCTCCAAACCCAGGGAAAGTGGTGCAGCCACAGCTCAGCTGTAGGCGATGGGGACAGAGGTGGGGTGTTGGCCTCATTTCTGGGTCTCCCCCTGCTTCCTTTTTCTTCCCATCCCCCCTCTCCCTCCCCCTTCCTCACAGCTCAGCTGAGGCCGATCCTGGCACTTCTGGCTCCTCCCCAGAGGGCTCCTCTGGCCCACTGCGCACATTCAGTGAGCTCAGGCCCTCTGACTCTGCCAACTTCTGGGCCAGCTCCAGACCCTGCGGGGTCAGTGAGTACCTGGTAGGCGGAGGAGACAAACACAGATCTCCCCTTCTTCACCGTACCTGGCAGGCTCTCCTGCCTGCTGCCGGCTAGCTGGTCTCACCGCGCCCTGGGCAACCTGTACAAATAAGTCCAGTGGCTTCCACCCCCAACACCCCAGGCTGTGTTCTTGCCCCTCAGATCAGCTTCCTCTGGACCTGCCCAGGGCCATTTCTCAAGTCAAGTCTGCAATGCACAGGTCTCAGACAGACTTTCCTTCCTCCCAACTTTGTTTATATTGTTCCCTCCTCCCTGGAATGCCTTCCCTGCATCTCTACCCTCTGAATTCTAAGACCTGTCAAATGCTATGTTCTCAGCAAAGCCTTTCTGCTTGTCCAGTAACCTGTGGCACCTCACCCTTCCTGCTTGGTCTCTCAGACCCTCCTGGTCCGCCCCCCCCCCCCCCCCC